AGCGTCGCGCGGTAGACTCAGTAGTGCTTTCATCCTTTGCGATCTGGCGTAGCGATTTGAATGAGATTTCTTTGTCGTACGCTGTGAAGAACCTAGTCTTTTTGATCGTATCAGCTTCGTGGCCACTAGAAGGGCCTGGCGGAGGGGTAATGCGGCTTGTGCGACGTGTAGTTGGGGCCATAGTGAGTGTTTAGAGTGATAATAGATAAATCGCAAAAATCGCGTTTCGCGATTTTTGGTGTTTTTGGCCCGTGCGCCACGAATTCGGGCACCCACTGGTGTCCCTTCCATGGCATCGAAATCGCAACTTTGAGAAATCAAAACATATCAACCACAAGGCTGCAGAAAGGTTAACACCGCTCCTTATCGTCGCAGATCTCGACATCGAAGACGACTCTTTGATACTGCTCCCATCTCGTCGCAGATTTCCCTCACGATGGAAGAACAACAAGCTGCACCGGCTCTTGCGACAGCCTTTCCTGCTCCTCCTCCATACTGGCAGTCATTCACGTCAGAGAATCTGGACCGCCTAGCAGAGCTTCGTGCCGCTCAGAACCCGGCAAAAAGAACCTACGACCCATCTACTGAGCTGCCTCTGCGCATTTTGGATCTTCCAGCTGAGCTACGATGGCTCCAGCCACCGGTACAGCCCCAAGAGGGGAAATATAAGTGTTTCGGTGATTCCTATAACGTATATATATTGTTTAAGATGTTGTTATCGTGTCATATATGAGTGTGCGAAGTGCTGACCTCTGCCCGTTGCAGCTCCAGGATCCGCTTCCCTCCCTTGTGGAGATGGGCATAGAGCAACTGTACACACCTCCTGATTCACCAACTATCAGCGGCGTTGAGAAACATACCGATCGTGCGTTCATTCTCAAAAAACTCATCAAATCTCTGATCTTGAACTACCTGGAATTGGTGGGAGTCTTGAGTGTCAATGCGGAGCATGTAGGTTGCTCCAGCTGCTTCTCCACGGGATGCTAACGATTCTGCGACCAGTATGTTGAAAAGACCACCGACCTCAACACTCTATTCACAAACTTCTACCATCTCCTAAACGAATACCGGCCCCACCAGGCAAGGGAGAGTTTGATTCTCATGATGCAAGACCAACTGGACAGATGTCGCGCAGAAACACAGGGGATAAGGGACATGAAAGCAAAAGTGGAGGGCATTCTGGAGGGTTTAGGCCAGGCAAAACTGGCCGATATTGGAGAGGCAGACACCACGAGCAAGGAGGATTCGGAAGGAAAGGAAGTTTGGGACGAGTTGGCAAGGGAGTTCAATTGAAGAGAATGTGGAGAACATGGGTAGCGCTTCGGAAATCGACGATGAACACATGCTGGGACAATGAAGCTTTCTCTGGGACAAGGAGCCTCTGGAGACAATAACCGACTATAAATCACCAAATCAGATGATCACAGGAAAGGCAAGCACAGAGGATGAACAATTCTTCCCTCGTGGAGAATGTTATTGTCAGGTGAAACCTTCCTATACTGCAGAAAACCCATCGGTATGCTCCCCATATCGGCAAGCTATGATTGTGCATGTGCCTCGTCGAATTGTGCTTCGTATTGCCTCATCCTCATCGACTTAAGAAGCCAGGTGCCCTCATCATGTCTTTACATGACCGTACATGGAATGGGAATACAACAGCATTCATAGCCATCGCATTCAATGCATTTTGTCTTTCCTGCGCCACCACTCTCTGGCTTGACGATGCTACTGATTGTCGAAGCGGCAGCAGAGCCTGGGCCATTGCGGTTGACCAAGACAGAAGTGGATGAAGTGCACATCTTAAGATCTAGGTGAAAGGTGAAAGTTAGTGACGAGGCTATGACGAAGGGCAGAGAGCAGGGTAGAGCTAGGAGGACTTACGAGAAGTGAACGTCAATGATTAGTGAGTGTTGGTTTGTGACTTGTGGTTGTGGAAAGGTGTATGTGGGGATTTGGATTCCTAATTTGATGATGTCAGTTGACCGCGAGGCTGAAGGGGGTTTGTTCCTCTCTTGATAGACAAGGGAAGATGTCTATTAAACCGTAGAGAAGTATTTTGTTACTTACTTAGTTCTGCTGAATGAATGATAAAAGTGTTGAAGAGGAAAGGGAACCGAGTCTTGAATCTTGAATTAATACGTTGTCAAGATCATTTCTTGGCGTGAATGCATTGACTTGTGAATCTTGGAAAGGCTTCAAGTGAACCTTCGGCACTTGTGATTGGTTGAAGTGATTCTTTACGCGCAACATACTTAGCCACAGGTACAGCCACACTTGGCTAGTTTCAGGGGTGGTTGCAACTTTGCAAGGCGAAGACAAGAACCACTATCATCGTGCATAAGCAACCTTCAGAAAGTATATCCTCTCTTTCTAGACGTTCTTCCGCACGGGCATCTTATTCCCTTCTGCTCTGCAGGCCGCCTCTGCCGGGAGGACACCCCCGAAGCCGAAGAGTTTGAAATGGTAACAGGTATCCTGGTATCGCCTCACCACTCACCGTGTCGCAAAATCCCTTTTCGTTCTCGGTCCCCCCATATTGAAGGATCAAACATTCATCCCGAGGTGGCAAAAGTTGTGCTGTCTGTGAGCAGTAGATACGACATGTTGCTGTTTTGTTTTGTCGCTTTTCTGTGTGTATCGCATCCCTGCGGACTTTGGCATGGAAGATTGAAGTCTTTATCGATATTTCGTCCTTGTGCCTGCGTCAGTGAACGGCAGTTATGCAGCCTCTTTCTCTTTCGACCCATGTGTGCCGTGTCCAGGGGCGCAGAACGGGAGAAGTTTCCGAAGTCCTGTACGCATGATGCGACCCTGTAACCCAGGTCACTGTTGGAGTTTCGTTGCCGCTTGTCTGGTTAAAATTGACGCTCATTTCATTTCACATCATGTCCCAACGCGGCACAGTTCACTGCCATCGGCCTCCTCCTTCGGCCTCGCTGCTGCTGGTGGTGGCCATCCCGCGAAACTTCTCACTCGTGTCCTCGAGTCTAGGTTTTTCCCTTCTTCACAACACAACAAGACATCATGGCATCAACACACCCCGTCGAGATTAACAGTGGAATTACCACGACTTGGATACCCCTCACCACTCCTGGGCCGTCAGCTCCAGCTGGCTGCTCCGGTCAAATGTACATGCAGCCTGGTCTGACTACAATTGTCGCTTTCGATGCTTGGCAGGGCCTAAATGTTCCATTCGCATTGCAATGTTTGCCGATAGAAGTGACGCAGTCCTATACACAGACCAGTGCTGGAGTAACGGGATCAACGAGATTTAGTTTGGGGCCCTTTCAATGTCCAAACGAGTATACTACTGCCAGTACAACTATCCTCAATTCCCTGAGTACCTCGGTCTTGTGCTGTCCATCGTAAGTATCCGATCCAACCTTGAACATCGAAAATGCTAAGTGTGAAAAGGGAATATCGACTCTCGTCGTCCGGCACTTACCTGCAGTGCATGTCTACTCAGACAACAGGATCCGTTGTTCCGAACAGCTTGGTTATCTCAGATGGAACGCGGCTATCTTGGGTCGATACAACTGTTACTGCGTCCGGCACCGTGATTTTGGCAAATTCAATTATTGGTTACGTTTTCGCTGATCAGGTAACGTCTTCGTCTGGAACTTCATCGACGGGAGCTTCCTCGACATCAACACCTGCCCAGACACAGGGTCCGGCTACGACAACGTCGATAACTCCCACTCAAACGCCACAGATGGCTTACAATCATGGTCTGGACACGGGTGCTAAAGCTGGAATTGCAGTCGGCTGTGTGGTAGCAGCCTTGGCAGTCATCATTCTGTTCATAATTTGTTCTCCCAGATACAGACGGAAGCAAACGACGATACCTTCGGTGGCGTATGAAAAAGATGGCTCGACACCGGCAACAGAACAGGTGATTGGAGAATTGGGAACCAACGATGTGAATTATCCTAGTGACAGCCTTCTTGGGGGTCGATATCAAGCAGCAGGTGGTCTGCCCAAGCAGGGCAACATGTACAACAACAACAACAACCACCCAGGAGCTCATTTTGTGCATGAGATGGATGGACTTAGCCCAGCGCGGCAAGCTTAAACGAAATGAAATCTATTCAAGATCACATTCGGGAGAAAATAGACACATAATTGAAGTGCCAACGCAAACGATTTTGTCCTGCGATAGCAGGCCAAGAAAAAGCAGCAAAGTCTTAAAAGCGCAGACCACGTCGAAATAGTAAAGCTTTCCTAGGGACTCAATTCTCTTGCGAGCCGATCTCTATCGAAACTGGACTTCCCCAATACCTTGAAACGCCACAACGCCTGGCAATCCCAGAAAGCCTCGGAGAACGGCAACGGTATGAACCGAATGCCCTTCCGCTGCAGGATCTCAGAGATGTTTGTGCGTGAAGGAGGCCTGATAAAGTATTGCAAGGGTTATGTTGGGCGGCAAGCCATTATGAGCACTCCATTCGCTTGTGTTCAAATGTTGGAAAGAACCTCAATAATGACTGGTCGCCACCACTGGGTGCTCGCGTTTCGGCAACTTCAGGGGTACTAGAAACCATCCCGCGCTCGTACAGCCCCACCATTCAGGACTCGGCGAGTTTATGTCAACGACCAACATTTGGAATTTTCATTCATGGGAGCGCGTATAGGTTAGATGTTTGCACAAGCTCTTCTTCATTAATTTATTAGTCATTGACATTGGACTACTTTCACCATTGTGTACGGCGTTAAGATGCGATTTTATCTTGACGTTTGAGCCTCACTGTCTCTTCTCCTCATCTACTCACAGGCTTTACGCGCTCAACCAACATCTCAGGAACCACTCGCCACAGATTGGAATGATTCCGAGTGTCATAATGCTGTATTTTCCACAATCCCACCTCATTCCTAACTAACTGATATCAAGACTAGTGCACAGCTCTTGTAGATGTGCTCGGCGATTCAGTGCTCTACGACCCCACATCTTCTTCACCTGGGCTTCGAGACTCGTTTTACAGCGCACAGCAACGTGATGTCGTCCCAGCATGTGTCATTACACCAAGCTCACCAGATGAGGTCGCTCAAGCAATTCAGGTGATACGACAACACAATTGTATCTTTGCCGTCAAATCTGGTGGTCATGCGATGTTCGTTGGAGCTTCGAATGCTCCAGGGGGTATTACTCTCGACTTGAAAAAGCTCAATACTATCGATGTGTCTGAAGATTTAAAAACGGCGAGGGTAGGGACGAGGAACAGATGGAGGAATGTGTATGAGACACTGGAGCCACTGAATCGGACACCAGTCGGTGGGCGCAATGGAGCCGTTGGTGTGGGAGGTTTTATTCTGGGAGGTAGTGCTTTCTCCCTAAAAGCGCCCGCTTTCGGCTGATTTGTTGTACTCACTAGGTGGCATTAGCTTTGTTTCTCGTCGATACGGCTGGGCTCTGGACAATGTCCGAAACTTTGAGGTAAGTGTTAGTGCTCCGTCATCTCTACGTACTCAATTTTGCAGGCGGTCCTCGCAAATGGAAGCTTGAGTAATATCAATCAGCAATCGTCTCCTAATCTCTACTGGGCACTTCGTGGTGGCGGCAATAACTTCGGGATTGTGACGAACTTCGATCTGGAAATCTATCAACAAGGAGAGGTCTGGGGCGGTCAAAATTTCTGGCTTATGAACAAAGACATGCTTGCCAATCGAACAGCCCGACTTAACATCTCATCGCCTCCCATAGCTTTCTCAATGGACTATGTCAAAAATTCCTTTTTTACGGGCATAACAAAACTCGCATGCAGACTCGGCTATTGCATTACAAGCGAGCAAGCATTTCGCGCGTTCAAGAATATCGTTTTAGCAAAGCAGAGTGATGTTTATGCTCAGACCTGGATGACCTACACCTATGTATCTCAGATAGATCAGTTTATATTTGGAGCAGCTCTGGTCTATAGCAAACCTGAAGTTTGGCCATCTATCTTCACCGAATTCAAGACCCTCAAGAGTGTATACAGTTCCACCAAGATACAGAACTTTACGTCTGTGTACGAAGAGGTTGTCAGCTTGAATGAAATTGGATATCGGTAAGCTTGGAAACACTTGTCAGAGATCTGTATTGACCTCGATGCAGCCAAATGACAGCGGCAATCACCTTCCAGATGAGTGGAGACCTTTTGGATAGGATTCTTGATGTCTACCTCGTCGAAGTACAGTCTGTCAAGAATGTCAAGGATGTGATCCCTAGCCATCTTGATGCAACCGATTCATAAAGATGAGATTGCAATATTTAGAGAGAATGGTGGAAATTGTCTAGGACTTGAGGACCTGGATGGGCCATTAATGAGTGAGTGACTTCACTCGATCCATGGACTTGAAGTTTATTCATCGAATCAGTGTTTAGCCTCAGCTTTCGATGGTCGAAAATAGAAGATGATACAAAGATGAACGCAGTGGGCATCAGGATTCTCGATCGTGCTGTAGCTATGACAAAGGAAATGGACCTGTATCACAGATACATTTACCAAAATTATGCCAACGCTAGTCAAGACGTATTTGGTGGATATGGAGAGAGGAATAGGATGAGATTGAAAGAGATTCAGACAAAGTATGACCCAGAAGGAGTTTTCAGCTGATTACAACCAGGATACTTCAAGATATAATACGAGTTTCTAGCGTACCAATGCTCCAAAGACTCAGTCCGCAGCTTCAATAGGTTCCAGTAGATCTTCTCCCTTGTTTAGGCCATCGTGCAAGGCTAGTCTTTGGAAAAGGGGAAGATCGCTTAATCCGCTTAACACATTCTCTTTCGGCATCCTACACCTGGCGTGTGAAACCCTATAAGATTATCAATGGAATCGTGAGACCATTGAAGAAGATTGTGAACACTGGATGGTGAGAATAGAGATGCTTGTTCAAGGCGGGCTGATGATGTCGTTGCAAGTCCCGACGATGTCATAAGCGAGACAGGAAGAGTTCTCCTGGAGACATCGTCAAAGAGCATTCACTAGATTGGACGATGTCATAGGCTAGGCAACGATGCGATTGCAAGGCTGAATGATGTCGCCGCCCAACAAGGAAGGAATGAGAACTTTTCCTGTCTATAAATTCTCCTAGCTAGACCTTCTACCTCGGCCCGACTTTCTTCCGGACGCATTCTGCCATTTTACACCGCTATCACCTTCGACAAAATGTTTGCATCTATTGATATTCCTCGGAAGGCACCAACTGAGAGACCTATACAAATAGGCGAATTTACCCCTGGATCTCCTCCTCGCCGCAGACCAGGTCTATTCTCCGTTGTCTTTCAAGAGGATCTCAATCTCGGTCCAGACCATTACCACAACTCTCATCCTACCCCGCCCCGCACGTTGTCAGGATCATTCCGAACAATGGACGAATTCGCACAAAGCAGAGAGGATGACGACCTATTTGCAGACGAATTTGAACCAATTTCCGACCCTCCAACCGTCACTGAAGATCAAAAACTCTCCATCAAACCTCCACTCGAAGAACCGACATTCTCCAATCTAATCCAAAGCAGCAATGTCCGACGAGAGCAGGGACAAGAACGAAGAGCTAGAGGCGGCCGTGGAGGACTCACTGGCAGAGGAAACAATGGTCTAGGTGCATCCAGATATGCTACTTCCGCTGATACCCCGCCCACACAAAATGCCACCACAAATCCAGCTTCCACGTCAGACAATATGCCGCCCCAAAGCACTGTACCTACGCCCGACAATGGCCCTCCCCCGGCGGAACCTGCTACCGGAACACGGAATCTTGCAGTCCGCGGTGACCGATCTGCCACCGGCGGACCCGCTCACAAGAAGTTGACAGAGGAGGAGCTCAGTGCTAAGATGGCCAAGATGGCGGTGATCAACGCGGAGAAGGCAGAGCGGCACAGATTATCAGAGGCGGATCAAGCAGCATACCAACACCGAGAGAAGGAGCTGGCTAAGGAGAAGAGAGAAAAGGCCGTAGCAGAGAAGAAGAATGAGAGAGTCATGGAGATGGAGCGGGCAAAGAACAGGGATCGGAAGATGAAGACGCAAGGCGGCAGAGAGTGGGATAGTGAGAAACTTGAGAGCGACATTGTGGACGGAAGGGGACGTGGTAGGAGCTCGGAATATGTCAGAGGTGGTCATGGCGGAGTTATCAGAGGTCGAGGTGGGCTTGCTGAGAGCCGGTTCTCTGGTCCTGAGGAAACAGATGAGATTGAGTCCGGTTCGAGAGGAAGGGGAGGATTTCAGAGCAGAGGTCGTGCTAGAGGAGGTCGAGGTGGTCGTGGAGGAAAAGCCTCGGCACCAGTCCCACCCAGTGCTGAAGACTTTCCATCCTTGCCCACTCAGGATAAGATCTCGTCTGAGGTAGAGACTGTGAAGTCGCCAACAGGAGAAAAGGGACCGGGAGATTGGGCTGAAGAAATGGCTACACCTATTGAGGAGAAGAAGATGGATGTCTAGGTACATATTCTGAAGCAGAGGCTCTTTGCATGGCTTTTAAAAATCGGCGTTGGGGTAAGACTCGTCTACGGACTTGAGTGGGATACGTTATACCGTTGCTTTTAAATATCATGCATTCATTCAATATCTTGTGTTTGTGCCTTTCTCATTTAAAAACCCCGACTTTCGAGACACATCGCTAGAAGCCTTCCTCATGTCGAATGTCCCGACAGAAGGATATCTCGAGGGTTTCCTGTGAGACCAGTACATAATCATCTATCTCACTTATTCGCATCTCATGTTTCCTTGATCTCCCTTCTTCCACGAAATTTATACTTATATTCAATCTGTTATAAGTGCTATGATTCTATCATCTCATATGCTTATTGAACAATCTAAGATTATCCCTAATCATTAACACTTTTAAAACTTGTTTTAAAACTTGCCATTACTCTCGATTGGGGTACAGGGGGCAAAGTAGGCTGATGTGGGGTGAAAATGATGCAGATTATATTTCAAGCGCATTGTGCGAAGTTCTATTATTTGGTGTGTACAATCACTGATCCTTCTTGACCACAGCCCTTTTCCTAAAGCGAAGCAGCAACCTTCTTGCTGCTGCAGCAATTTTCAATCTCACTGACCTCACATCCCATTGATCGGCTTCATCAACTGCAACGAACCTCCTCACCAATAGATTGAATACGAACCCGAAGCTCAATGCCATGACTGTACTTGTCAGGATGATCACATTGTATGGCATGCTGAAATCCGGTGTGGGAAGTGGGAGCAGGAGAGACGTTGTTCTGATGCTGACATTTCCAATAGTGATCACAGCTGGAGCTATATCAAACCCACGGTTGGCATCTGGTGGATATTCCGTGTACCGCAAAATTGCTTTTTCGAAGTCGTAGGTAAGGACAACGGTTGAATTTGCTGGAATGAGGATCCGCACTTCGAGCTGCGTTCCACGTTTCCTGTCAAGTGCAGGGCGATAATACATTTCTTGAATAACGTCCTTGTCCAGCCCATTGATTTTAGCTTTTAGTGTATGAAGATAGAGCTTCATGAACCACGGTATAGACTCCATGTAAACAAAGTCAACTGATTGTGTCGGGGAAGGGTTTGTGAGAATGGCCTGAACACCACCTCGCTCTTGGCCGTAGCCAATGAATGAACGCTCTGCATACAGCAAAGGTTGTTCCAAAGGAGCTTTCTCTGATATGTCCTGCTGGGGTAAAGTTATGTCGAAATCACCCTCAGAAGCGAGCCCAAAACATCGAAGAAAGCCGCCAGGATCTTTGTGTTCTTGTGCCCCATTCGATGTAAAGACATGGCGAGCATGGGGTACATTGATACAAACTGGGTCGACTCCGTCAGTTGCCAAGGGACATGATCCCTTCAGAGAATGACCAAAGATCTGTGACAAACTCCATCCTTCTTCTTGGGCTGCAGTATCAAGCGGATAACAAGTATCATGAGAGTTGTAAGGCTTCGAGTGGTCACACTTGAGCTCTTCGAACGGTACAGGTCTTGGAATTGGGTTGTCTGAGACGAATTAGCGGGATTTGGGACTTGAACGATTTCCAAACCTCTCGGACGTTTTGATCTCTGAATGTCTAAAACCATATCGATTGTTTGAGTAATTTGAAGCTGGCAATCGCTCTCTCCAGCAGCACAGATTGGACGTACGTCAATTGACATACTCTGCCAACTTGCATCAAATAGTTTATGTCCATCCAGCAAGCTCGAGATCCCAGCCTTTCCTTTACATGGCAACAGCTTCAGGAAAGGAGTTAGATTCTCCGTACAGACCACCTCTCTTGGTAACGTCCCGTGAAGTAAATGTAGATTTTCGAGAGTAGAGTTGGCATGTCCTTCAGAAGGCTGAAACGACATTACAGGTCGAGTAGTCCTAGTCGAATCAATGAAATTGAGTGAGGCGCAAAAGAGGCCAGACAGTGCATTCGTCAATGTCAGCCATCGTCCATTGGCCCTATTGGTGTAAGAATTTGTCCCATAATCCCGAAGATAAGATAACATACTCCTCATCTGTCTCAGCTTCAACCCAAGCCCAAAGTTCCACTCCCGTTCCTCCCTCTCGAGCTCCTCCCCATGGTCGAGCACCCCAACTCTCAGCATCCCATCTCCCGAGGCTGAACCTCAAATGTAATTCTCTCGTGTTTGCATGTTGTAGAATCTGGCCAAGCGATCGCGGGAAATATCTGAAGTTCTGCTGTTCAAAGGATTCCCAGGACGTATTACTCTGAAAGTTGAAGGAGGCAAGTAATAGCGATGGATGTAGAGGTCGAAGGAGAAGTTGTTCGTGATAGTCTGACGCAGAGGTTCCAAGGAAGAAGAAGCCAATAACAAACAGTAGAGACTGTAATTGACGCATGGCTTCCAGCGCCAAATTTTTCTATGAAGAAATCATCAAGGTGTTATATTGTTGTGAGGATTGAAATGCGATGTTGTCAAGTCGCGCCTCGTAAAGCTCTTAGCGCGAGCCTTCTCCAAGCACGGCTGTGGTTGTGATTTTTCCTCAGCCGCGTCTGATAAACTTCAACAATCAACATTCTAAGCCACCAAAACCCGCAATCATGGCGGCAGAGCAGAGGAAGCTGTTGGGTAAGTTATGCATTCGCTTCTTGTCTCTGCGGAGAATTCGCACAGCTTCCAAGGATTACAGGGCTAATATTCTCCAACAGAGCAACTTATGGGCGCCGGTGCCTCCTCCCGAGCAGCCCAACTGTCAATTACAGACATCAAAGTTTGTCGATCCTATCTCGCTGGTACCTGTCCTCACGATCTGTTCACAAACACCAAGCAAGATCTTGGTCCTTGCCCAAAAGTCCACAGCGAACCACTCAAGACAGAGTACGAAGCTGCCCCGGAGTCGCAAAAACAGAAATGGGGCTTCGAATACGATTACATGCGTGATCTACAGAAGTATATCGACGAATGCAATCGAAGAATTGATGTTGCGCAACGGAGACTGGAGAAGACACCAGATGAAATCAGACAGACAAATGCACTGCTAAAGCAGATCAGCGATTTGAACAAGAGTGTGGAGACTGGGTTGATGGAGATTCAAGTTCTTGGTGAGCAATCGGAGGTCTCGAGAGCGTATGAAGAGTTCTTTCGTATACGACAAGCTATGGCTACGAAGGCGGACAAGGAACGAGAGCTCAAGGCGTTGTCAGATACCTCTGGTCCTTCCGGACACCAGAAGCTGCAAGTATGTGATGTTTGTGGAGCGTACCTAAGCAGGCTCGACAATGATAGACGGTTGGCGGATCACTTCTACGGCAAGATGCATCTTGGTTATGCCCAGATGAGGAAAACCTACGAAGCATTCCCGAAGGAGCTTCGAACGAGAAGACCACCAGTAGCAGAGGATGGGGATCACAGCCCAGCAGGAGGAAGAGGGTTTGATGGCGGTTATGGTGACGGCGGGTATGGAGGCAGAGGGTTTGGTGGGAGAGGTGGGGGAAGAGGTGGTGGATTTAGAGGAAGAGGTAGAGGAGGGTTCAGAGGTAATTGGTAATGGGCTCCTACTGGCGTTCCGCGAAGCTGGAGGCGTTGGTGGATCTCTGAGATTAATTTGTATTATGAAGCCAAGCATGAGAACCGTTCTTTTTCAGAGAAGATGTGATTTGTTTCATGTTCACTTGATTTGCAATGAAAGTGTTCGGCAGGCGTTGGGCTTCGGAGCAGCGCCTTTGCAGACTCCATATCTCTACCCAAGGAGGGACCGGATATTCCCCAGCGGTAGATAAAGGTGACGATGGAGTTACAAAGGCCACACGATGGTTTAGAATTCGAGAAGCTGAAATTGTTGTACTGGAATTGCAAGGGTAAGCACCACCGGACTGGTCTTCAGTCACAGGCTAAAGTTCTTCATTCCCAACCAGTTTATCGCTCTGATATGCAGTCTCTATTGTTACATAGCCACAAGGGACCGAAGGACGAAATCTAGCTGACCACACGATCTCCGCCATCTGCACCACTCTCGTCCTTGGCCAAATCGTGCTCCTTCAATAATGTCATAATCTCATCCGCACCCCACAAGTGGTGGTAAATTCGCCCATCCTTCGTCTTTCCTACTGTAGCAAACTCGACTGCGGAGGGTTAGCAAGTATCCTGTCAAGGAAGGAGGAACATACTCTTCTCACTGCTCAGCTTGGTCGAATCCATGGTCTTGCTCAGCACCTTGACCGCCATACCACACGCCTCCTTGAGATCGCAATCTTCCTTGTAATCTTGCTTCAACAAACTTTGCGCACTGGCATTGTTTGCACCGACACTTGTAGCCTTCCATCCACCATAATTACCACTGGGATTGCTCTGATACAATTGAAATTGTCTTTGAGGATCGTAACCAGCATAGATGAAAGAAACACCGAAAGGTCGCAGACCACCATGTTGCGTGTAGCCTTGCTTGAGATCACATAATCGGCGGACAAGCTGTTCGCAGGGAATGTCTTCGTTGTAGGTGAGGAGGTATTTTTGGGCAGCTTGGCGGGCGTAATTGATGAGGATATTCGCATCGGCGGTCATGCCTGCTACGGCGCAAATCATATTGCTGCGAGAGTTAGCAGTTGCCTCGCAGATTGAAGTAGACATCGTACTCGTTCAAGATGTAGAGCTTCTCTGCCGAAGTATCCTGCTCGAGGAGCTTGCTCGTAACCTTTCTCTCTGCTGCCAAGACGATACCATCCTTTGCCAATATGCCCAACGCTGTTCCCGCATGGGAGATAGCCTCGAGAGCATATTCAACTTGATACAGACGTCCTTCTGGAGAGAAGATTGTGGTCTGTTGAGCTTGTGAGCATTCGGCCAGGAGGCTGGAGCTTATTTGAGCTTACTCTGGAATCGTATCTTCTCGACATGTTCGCGGATTGTTGGGTGGCTGCGGAGGAGAAAAGGTGACGACAATATTCTCCTCAATCAAGGTGTGTGGTGTTGAAAAGGTTTGTTGTCTTCCGTGATACTTTAGAGCTTTGAAAGCTTCAGGCACGATCAACGCGTAGTGCGCTAAATGCGGAACCCCAGATTTGAGGCTCCAACTTTAGAGTGAGCCAGCCTTGTCACAAATTATTTTCGAATCAGCATCAAAGTCTACAATGCGCAGAGAATGTTGAAATCCACACACAAAACCACCGCTCTCCCGGAGGGATGGACAGAGCACAAAGCACCTACTGGCCATTTGTACTATTACAATTCTAGCACGAAACAGTCGACTTATACTCGACCAGTTGCAGCTCCATTACCAGCAGCTCCGACACCTCCTCCGCCGAACAATCCGTCCCAGAGCTTTCTGCAGTATCAAAGTGTCGATAGTCAACCAAGTGCTGGAACGGCTTTCAACAACTTTCTTCCTGCAGGACAATCACATGGCCGTGGCGGGTTTCAGAGCAATAGAGGGCGAGGAGGTCATGACCGATCGAGAGATTCCAGACCTCAGCCAACAGACAAGCCAATCTCACGACATGCCATTCCCGATAATGAGTCCTGGTTCTTGATACATACGAAGTTGGGAAGGAGGTTCGTTTACAATGCCGCGAAAGACCAGAGTTTCTGGCGCATCCCCGACAAGTTGAAAGATGGGATCTTGGCTTTGGATCAACAGAGGACTAGAGAAAAGGCGGAAGCATTGGCTGCGCCTAAGGAGCCTGAAGCTCCACAGGGTGCTGCAGAAAGACCTGTGATTGAACCCACACAAGCTCAACCACGAGACGCAGAAGCTGAGGACAGCTCGGAGTACGAGGAGGTTGAGGTCACGGATGATGAAGAAGATGACGAGAATCCTTCGAAACGGCAACGAACAGAAGATGATGCTCCAGATGAGCCAGTCGAATTCAATGAGGACGATATCGCATATCAATTAGCTGCAATGGGTCAAGAATATGGTCTGGATCCGGGAGAATATGGTGATGAGAATATGGATGGATGGGAGGAAGGAGACGCAGGATTGGAGATGACCGAAGAAGATTCAGCAGCCCTTTTCAAGGATCTGCTGAACGATTTTGGCATCAACCCATACAGTCCATGGGAGAAGCTCGTCGAGGAGGGAAAGTTGGTCGATGATCTCAGATACACTGCTTTGACAAGTATGAAGGCACGGAAAGAAGTCTGGGAAGAGTGGTCAAAAGAGAAGATTAAAACTCTGAGGGAATTGCGAGCGAAGGCAGAGAAGAAAGATCCCCGAATTCCTTACCTCACCTTCCTCCAGAAATATGCGACGCCGAAATTATACTGGCCCGAGTTCAAACGGAAATACAAGAAGGAATCAGAAATGCGAGATTCCACAATGTCGGACAAAGACAGAGAGAAATTTTACAGAGAACACATCAATCGTCTGAAGCTTCCTCAGTCGACATTAAAATCGGATCTGTCGACCTTGCTCAAAGCGCAGCCTCTCTCTCAACTCAACAATACTACTCTACCGTCTCACCTACCTTCTGCCGTCCTGGCAGACATACGATATGTCTCGCTGGATAGCGGAATTCGCGATGAACTCGTTGAAGGTTACATTTCAACCCTCCCTCCACCGCTAGACACCAATGATGAAGAGGAGACGGAGGAAAAGGCTAAAGAAAGGCAGGACCGGCAGCGTCGGCAGAAGGCGTTGGAGGATCGTGAAAGGCATGTTGCTGAAGAAAAGCGACGACAGAAGAGGAATCTGGAATTTGGGAAGGGTAGATTGAGGGAGGAGGAAGCAGAAATAGCCAGAGCGATGAATGTCTCGAAGAAGGGACTGAAAGACCATTTGATGGAGGATGAAACATAGACAGCAGAAATGCGAATCGATACCCAAGCATCGAATTCATCTCATGATTCGATTATGTCGAGGCTGTAAATGTCTTACCCCTGAACCTTGATCGACTCGGCAATCCAGGATTCTCGGCTCCGCAATCTCAACTGAAACATGAAACATCTCAATCACTGCCAATGATCTTGCTTCAATCCATGCTGCCACAGAACAAACAACATGTCACCCTGGCCACGGCTTTATTTGGGTTAAATGGAATGTCCCGAGGTACCTGAACATTACGATCTGATTGGAAAAGGTTCGGCTTCCAGGAGCAAATCAAGGAAGGTGCATCCGTCGGTAGGAGCTAAGTTCTACAAATCTTAAACGCATTTTATTTTCCTCTTTTAAGACAGCAGTGAGGTGTACAGGATATTTGAGACTTCATCGAGGTCCATCTCCAGGAGTCTGCTCTTCGTCATTCCTGCACATTCCTGCGTTTCTCACAATATTCAAAATGCTCTCTTTACGCCACGCTCTCACCTTCTTCCTCGCGCTTGGCACTACAGTCGCGCAAATCCTCACTCTCACAGCCTCTCTTCCTGATAGCACACTCGATGGTCAGCCAGTCAACGCCGATGGAGAAGCATTCTCTCTCGGTGGCTCTCCTGCCAGCTACTGTCCCACCGAAGTCGGCACTGCTTGTCCCAATGTTACAGCGACTGTCTTTGCAGGCATGAGTGCTCTATGGGTAATTGAGTCCTATTACGATCGAAAGTCTAATGGTGCTGATAGAGATATAGGTTGAAGTTCCTGGCGGTCAAGAGGTTTATGTCCAGACAGATGGAGCCCTTGGATTCACCCAAGCCCACTCTGCCTCCGTCCCGCCTGGAGCCTACATTGGTGGATTTTCGAACGTCACTGTCGCCTCGGATTGCCACGCACCGTGGGATGTTATCACTTGGAATGCACCAGATGGATCCACAGGTATGGGTCTTCATGGCTGCATCAAAGGTGTACTAACTAGCATGCAGGAGGAATTCTTGCTTGCCCAGAAGTCCCTGCTGGTACGAATGGCACGGCAATCTATCAAGTCTATGCCAAGACGCCAGCATTCAACAAGACGAATTGCGTGACTCTTGCTGGCTTGCTTCCCACCTACTTGCCAGCTGGGTCACCATTTGGTGCCTGGCAGTACATCTAAGAGAATCTCCACCATTGCTTCTCCCAAGCTGCTGTACCTATAATTAATGAGCGACAAGATGTTGTATCTCTCGGTGTCATAATCTTGGTAACAAGCACCTTCTAGAGCTGTATTCGAGGATCAGCTGGATTCATATTCAGATGACTCGCCTCTTCCAATAGATAACAATACTTTAATGTCCATTAAACCTTATTGGGTTTTTTTCATGTTTCGTTTTGTTTCGTCCTCAACATGTTCATTCCTAGTCACTGGTGATCCACTGACCACTTCTTCATTTTGTCCTGAATATTGTCTGCTTTCTGCACCTGGCCTCCGTCTTTTCACTTTTCGTCTACCTTGGATGTTGAACCTGGTGTTGTGGACTTTCAAGGGGCGGTCCGATGGTCACCTCGTTGAGGCCGTCGAGTTCCTCCTTTGATACCACATATCTCTTCGATACCCGACGCTGCACCCATAGCCCCACATTCTTGAAGCATTCATCCCATAGTTTCAGATACAGACCTTGGACAAAAAGACACCAACGCTGTCACCGAAGCGAGCGTTTCGAAAGCCAACATATAGCGCCTTCTTTGTGACACGCCAGTACACCACATTGACGAGAAAGACCAGGGCATTCGAAAAAATAACTCCTGCTACCGTCATGAACAAGCGAAGACGGCCGAAGCTTTAGGATAGATCCCATGCAACCACCGCCACTCCTAGAATGAGAGGGCCGTAACATGCAAAGGCGTAAAGTTGGGTTAAAAATTGTGACGTAGCGCTTAGCATGCGCGCCGACGGTAGTGATAACTCTTACCATCGGGCCAAACTGCCCCAAAAGGGTACAAGAATAGGTTGGAAGCCTATTCTGCTATCATACTATATATGGCTACGACCGCAACCGTAACAAAAATGGCGGAGATGCCAAAAGGGCAGAAGGAAGCAGACCCGGAAAGCGTTGGAACGGGATGAATCTGGCCAGTCTCCCGTCTCTCCAAGGAAGTACAAAATAGCAATGAGCATGATCTGAGCATGATCTGACCTTGCAATGCCATCGTGCAGATTGGAATACTGCCAGGGCTGCGCTCAGAAAGACGGACATTGTATCTGGGAGGAGTATGCCGAAATGTATGAGGAGAGCCCAGAGACAAGAGATAGTGCTTTCGATGATCCCAATAGAGACGTCATTTTGCCAACGGTATTCCTGCTTCTTTTTCGTTGAGTGTTAGTGTTGAAATAATGAAGAGCTACAGGTGATATGTCTGATGCCGCTCGAAACGGTTCCAAGCAGCAAGCAGCTCACCAATTTCACTTGGTACAACTCTCAAGATTCGCTGCTCAGTCGAATAGTTCTTCCATCTCCTTTTCAGACTCATTTAGAGAGCCACGATACCTCGCCGCGTTCTTCAAACTCCCTTGAAAAGTATGCTGAGCATCTGTTTGTCACTACTTCTTGGTGGGTAGGTCAATTTGAGCGAGTGCATCTGCCAAAATGGCGGAGATTGGGGGTCCTTCGGACAAAAGTGGGATCTTTCTTCAGCAGGCGTTTGGAAGGCATTCACAATTTCCATTTCTTGTCCCGGATATAACTAACCACTCTCTTTAATGTAAAGTTAATATGTAAATTTACGAAATCTATCGTTTAATACATACTGATGGCTATTCGGAACTGTGGCTGACGCTCCGCGGCACTCACGCCCTTGACTGTACAGCAAACGTACACGGGTCAGCGTCAACACTTATAATGTTAGATTGGTAAGTGAATATTCCACATCGTCCATACCGCTTGACTTCAATTCGGTCAGCACATTTGCCATAACATCTCTCAAGAACAGATTGCATCTTATTGGTCAGACAATGTCCTCCCCGGTCATCCAGCCTTCATTTCAGGACAACGTCGACTTTGTAAATGTTGAAAGAGGTCTCGTCGCGTCTCTCCACACCTGTCTCGTGAAAAACGAAGCTGGACAGAGTGTGTGGAACAACGAGGACTACGACTTCATACAAGGAAATTGCCCATCAACCGTGAATCCAAAGCTATGGCGACAAGGACAGCTGACCCGGAAGCAGGGCCTGTTCGAGGTTACGAAAGGTGTGTATCAAGTGCGCGGATTCGATATCTCAAACATGACTCTTGTCGAAGGCAAGACCGGCGTCATTGTCCTAGACGTTCTTGCATCAACTGAATGCGCGGCTGCAGCACTAGGATTCTATCGCACCCACCGCGGCCATCGATCAGTGCAGGCTGTCATCTACTCACACTCGCATTATGATCACTTCGGCGGCGCGCAAGGTGTTCTTTCGACAGCTGCTGGAGATCAGAGCGAAATCCCCATCATCGCTCCAGCTGGCTTCATGGAAGCAGTGCTCAGAGAGAATATTGTTGCCGGCCCCGCGATGCGAAGACGCGCAGTATTCATGTTTGGTGGATCTCTGCCTATTGGACCACACGCCCATGTGTAATTCTCCCCCCATCAAGCACAATCAGTCGGTAAGCATAATTATTAATTACTTGTAGCGGTTGCGGATTAGGTATGGCTGCTTCTAGCGGTACCACAATTATTGTACCACCAAACGATACTATTAAGGAGACCGGCGACGAACGAATCATCGACGGCGTAAGAATTGTGTTCCAGATGGTGCCTGAGACAGAAGCACCATGCGAGATCAACGTCTTCTTTCCTGATCAGCGTGCTCTCTATATCGCGGAGTGTGCAACTCATACAATGCACAATGTCATCACCTTACGCGGTGCACAAGTTCGGGACGCAAAGAAGTGGTCTAAGCACTTGGATGAGACGCTCGATATGTACGGTTTTGATTCTGATGTGGTCTTTTCGGGTCATCACTGGCCAACGTGGGGCCACGACAATATCATCAAGTTCATTTCAGACCAACGAGACCTTTACGGCTATATGCATGATCAGACAGTTAGGCTTATGAACAAAGGGATGTCTGGGATTGAGATAGCGGAACAGCTCCAGCTCCCGCCAGCCTTGAAACAAGAATGGTATGTCGGTGAATTCTACGGCTGCTTGTCGCAGAATGTGAAGGGCATCTACCAGCGTTACATGACGTGGTTCGATGGTAACCCAGCCAATATATGGAAGCATCCACCAAAGGAGGAGGGAAAGCGCTATGTTGATTGCATGGGTGGCGTCCAGGTTGTCATTGGGAAGGCAAAAGAGTACGCCGACAGAGGCGATCTTCGGTTCGCTGCAACACTGCTTGACCATGTTGTGGCAGCGGAACCAAGCAACGAACGGGGACAACAGGAACTGGCATCGGTATACCAGCGGCTCGGCTTCGGTGCTGAAAATGCTGTATGGCGCAATTTCTATCTCACTGCCGCACAGGAGCTTGGGAGCAAGAGCCAGGGAGCAGCGCAAAGTGTGATCGCCATCAATCCGCAATCGACTGTAGAAGATTGGCTCGACGCTCTCTCGCTGCAAATAGATGGACCGAAGGCTTGCGAAATATCTGTTCAGACGATCGTCATCAATATCCCGGACGAACAGACAACGTGGACGTTGACATTACGGAATGGCACACTGACGTACCGGAGTAAGGCTTTTGGGACTGCGCAAAGTAGCGGCTCTGCAGATTTGACGGTGACAATCAGTAAGAGCGAGATGTACGACATGGTCGCTAAAGGCAAAATAGATGCGGCAAAGAAGACTGGGGAAGGCAAGATGGAGACGCTGACTACTTTACTAGAATTAGGTAATATTGTATGAAACGCTAAATTCTTGACTATCGAGACTTGACTTTCTATTAACGTTTATGTATAAGAATCACCGATCTCAAGCCATGTATAGAGAAGAAATTTCGCTTCACACAATGTTTATCCCCTCGGTCAATGTCAGGGCCCAGCTCGGACAACAAGAATCTATTGCCGGTGCCGAACACAGACTACCAAGTCTTACTAGCGCCGAGTACGGAGTACGAAAGCTCATTGATGCAGCCATCTTGGTGCGGACAAGAAGAAATTGAATAACCTGCAAATAATCTTCGGAATGCTAATCCACTACAGAAGTCTGCTCGAGCTCCTACTCCTTCATAATCAGGACGTGTTTCATTATCCAACTCTCCTTAGGGGTAGATACGCCATTGACAAGAAGCCAATGATGCACGCCTATCGCACTACCCCTTATGCCGGGCGCTCCGTAGAGTCTACCGAGGGTCTGCGCCCGCCAAAATAAAGTGTGGTCCGAGCGCCCGTCTAGTCTAAATGAGTCGAGTCTAATAAAAGTTCCTCCCCCTCCCTCCCCCCCCGCCCTAATCCCTATCCCCCTTCCCAATGGCAGCCAGCGACTTCCGCTACCTCCCCTTGCACCAGGTTATCTTGTGCCGGGCCTGCGAAACCTGCCTCATCCCCACCGCCTCAGCCCAGACCGCGCACTTGCGTGCCCCTCCACACCAGCTGCAAGGGGAGACCCTCAAGGCCAGCCTCCGGCTCTTCGCCGGCTACGAGCGCTCCGGACGGTCGAAGAGCTCCGCCAGCACAAGCACGCCCTCGCTGCCGAGGCCAGAGCAGGCCGCCCGTGCCTCCAGATCCAGGGGCTCAAGGCTAGCTATAGCTACTCGTGCATAATTGACCCTCTTCGCTACGTCTACTATACGCGGAACCTCGCGGCTCTTAAAAGCCATGCCTTCTCCCAACACCAGCGGCGCGCTGCCGAGCACAAAGCTACGCTTTCATAGCAAAAGTGCCTCCTTCAAAGCTACTTTATTAATAAAAATAAGATCGATTACTTTATTGTAGCCGAAGATAAAGAAAGCAATAGCAACAAAGCGCCACCGGACAAAGCGCCACCCGACAAAGAGACGGCCCTCTTTAGCGAGCTCGAGAAGGATAGTAGTGAGGCGAAGCGGGACCTGGAGGAGCGAGCTAGCATCGTCTATGGTTTTGGGGACTCCCGGTCGGAGCGGGTGCCCTGGCTCGAGCGGACCGACTTCCCTACCCACTTAGCTACGCTCAAGGACGCCGAGATCAAGAGCTCGTACGCCCTGCCGCCGTCCAAAGAGAAAGGGCTCGACCCTAACCTAGTCCGGATTCTAGCTGCGGCTGA